CTCCAGCGGGCCCAGCCCCAACACATGGAATAAAATGCTGTCGATATTGTTGTGTCCCGAAGGAGCTCTCCGACTAGCAGAAGGGACAGAAAGGAGCCCCACCATGGCCAGTCCTCATGCCTCTGCTTCCGGGCACCTTCACCCAGCTCCTCCACTAATCTTCCCTGCCCCCTCAGTCCTTACTACCTGCTCCCAGAGTAGAAATGGGAGAATGAGGTAAAGGGAAAAACATGGGCTCTGGGGTCAAGATAGTCCTGGGTTCAAATCCCAACTCCAGCCTTCTCAGCTGCATACCCCTGGGCGAGAGATTCACATCCCTCAACCAACTGTCCTTTGAGTCTCATGACTGGTGCTGGGGGGCACAAAGACCACACAGTACCAGGTGGCCTTTGCCTTCCTCCAGCTGGCAGAGTCGAGAAGGCCTTGCAGGCTTCCTCAGGGAGGCCCCTCCCTAGTCTCCCATCATGGGGAGGCAGCAACAAAGAGTTCAAACTGCCTTACTCCCACTAACAGATGGGCAAACTGAGCCCCAAAGTTGGGACATGGTCCAGAAAATTTGAACAGGTGCTCAGTACCTATGTGTTGAATAGATGAATGAATGAGCGAATCAATTTGGGCAGGCGTCTTTAGAGCCTTCCATCCCGAGAACGGCAAGGGCCCCCAGAGACTTCCAACTCGGGTGTGCGAACAAAGAGTGGAAGGTGGACAGGTAAGCAACCTGTGACATGGTTATGTGTGCCAAATTGTGTGCGTGTGTGTCTTTGTCTATGGAAGTAGTCCATAACATTTTCATCGACCTTTCAAATAGGATTGCTGACCCAAATATATTTAAGAGCCCTGATTCAATCTCTACCCCCATTTCATAGATAGGGAAATTGAGTCCAATTCACCCAAACAATAAGCGGCAGAACGAGACTGGACTAACTTGGCCTCCTGAACATGGGCAGTTGGGAATCCCAACATCCTGTCCTCCAGCCCTGAAGCCACCCCTCTCTCCTGGATGTCTCCCAGCAAGGCCCCCACCAGTCCACCGGTCCTCCCAACTTCTCCAAGGGGAAGAAGAGACAGTGCATTGCACTCAGAAATCTTTCTGGCCCCCACAACCCCAGTTCTTAGAATTTTCATCGTCTAATCTCTCTTCTTGGGCATGTGCATATGTGTCTGTCATTGTTCAACTGATAGCAGGCAAGAAGGGACAGCATAAATTTATAATCTCAGGAACACCAACTACGCATCAAAACATATTTGGGCAAAAGGTGCTTAGAGGTAAATTTATGACCTTTTATATATTTCTTAAAAAAAAAAAACAAGAAACGTTGATAAAAAAACATTAACTAGGGGCGCCTGGGTGGCGCAGTCGGTTGAGCGTCCGACTTCAGCCAGGTCATGATCTCGCGGTCCGTGAGTTCGAGCCCCGCGTCGGGCTCTGGGCTGATGGCTCAGAGCCTGGAGCCTGTTTCCGATTCTGTGTCTCCCTCTCTCTCTGCCCCTCCCCCATTCATGCTCTGTCTCTCTCTGTCCCAAAAATAAAATAAACGTTGAAAAAAAAAAATTAAAAATAAAAAAAAAAACATTAACTAGATTTTCACCTCAACAAAGAAGAAAAAGTTAATGAAAATAAATCAAAACATTCCTCAAAGACATGACATAAAAAAGAAGATAAGGAAATAAAAGGCTTCTCTTTAAGACCAGTAAAATAGACAAACCTTTGGCAAATATGATAAGAGAAGACACAACTGAGAAACACTGAGAGTGGAGAGCAGAGGATGTTAGCTCAGATTCACATGAGAGTTTCCAATTATGGAAGAATCTTCCCACAACATTGTTACAACGAATTTGAGAACTTGGATGAAATGGACAATATTCTGGGCACTGGCTTCCGAATGTGAGTATGCATTAGAATCACCTGGAGGGCTTGTTAAAGCAGATTGCCTAGCCTTACCCTGGAGTTTCCGATTCAGGAGGTCTGGGCTGGGGTCCAAGAATCTGCAATTCTAACAAATTCCCAGGTGCTGCTGCTGCTTCTGGTCCAGGCGCACATTTTGAGAACCCCTGTCCCAGGGACTGCTATCTGCCCCATTTACTCCCCTTCCTGAGCTGGCTAACCTCTCTGCTCTGTCTGGACTGGGAAAGAGGGGGGTTGCTATCAGTGGCCTACTGCTGGATGACCACGAAACTAGGCACCTCAGAAAGCTGGGACCCAGGTGGCGAGGCAGAATTCTGCCCCTGCCTTGCACTGCTGTTTTCACCTGGATGGGCTCTTTGAATCCCATGACATCGGTACTGTTGCTTTACTAGATGAGGAACTGACGTGCAAAAAGGGTGAATTCCCCAAGCCCACAGCTGGCAAACAGAGGTTCTTAAGCACTGGGCCAGTCACCATGCCCTGGGGGCAGTGTGGGCCACATCACCCACTTCTCTTTAATTCTTTTTTTTTTTTTTAACTTTTTTTAATGTTTATTTATTTTTGAGACAGAGTGCAAGCAGGGAAGAGCAGAGAGAGAGGGAGACACAAAATCAGAAGCAGGCTCCAGGATCCAAGCTGTCAGCACAGAGCCCAACACGGGCTCGAACCCACGAACGAACGGGGAGATCATGACCCCAGCGGAAGTCGAACGCTTAGCCAGTGAGCCACCCAGGCGCCCCTAATTCTATGCCCACATACCTGTGTGGGGTGGGCCTTGTTATCCCAATTTAACAAAGCCAGGAAGTGGGGAGGACAGGCCTGCAACCCTGGGCTTTGGATGCCAGAAGGGAAATGGAGCAGGCGAGGTGACTCCCTAGCCCTGGAGAAGGGGGGCTGTGAGCTGCATGAACTCTCTGACCTGAAGTTCCCTCATCAGGTAAAAAATGGGATCAATAACAGCCTTCCCTCACAGGGTGGTTGGGAGAAATAAGTAAATGCCCACCCCCTGCCCGGCACACACTACGTTCTCCACCTACAGCAGCTCTACTGTTGTCGTTAAAGTTATTATTATATAATCCAGTTCCTCACAGGCATGTCCACAGACCTTATCTCATTTACTTCTCACGGCCACCCTGGGGGTAGCTATTACCCTTCCTATTTTACAAATAAGGAAAATGAGGCTCCAGGAGGGGCAATCAGGGGCCAAACAGTCCCCAAACCACTGGTGGCAGAGCCTGAAATAGAAGCAGGAGGCCCCCAGTATGGAGTCAGTGTTCCATTTGAAGATTCTTGGATTTCCAAGGAAAGAGGGCTTGTCCTGCCCCAGGCACCCTGCCCTCCTTACCGGTGCCTCACTTGCCAGTGGCCTCATTCTCTCCACCCAGCAAGAGCCAGCGACTAGCCCAAGGTCACTCAGCGGGCGGTGAGCTGACTCAGGAACCCAGGCCTTAAGACTGCAGATCTTGAAACCTCTGAGCTACTGGGGGTAGATTATTAGGAAGAACCCCCAACATGCTGCCTCCCACCTTTCCTGGTCCTCTAAGACTGACCCTGCGGATAGACAAATAACATTTTTCTGTTCAAGATACTGAGCCTCTGCAAATAACCTAAAACTGCAGATAAAAAAGAACCATCAGAATAATACGTCAACCATCACGTTGGGGGTGGGAATGGGAGGCAGCCACAGCCCCTCAGTGCCTACTATGTGCCAGGCCCTAAGCCCTACCTACCTTCTCTCAATATCTCACGCAAGACTTAGGACAATCCCGCAATGCACGCGTGGCCCATTTTATAAACGAGAAAACCAAGCCCAAAGATATGAAGTCACTTGCCCAAGGTCACTGAACTAGAAAGTGACTGACCCAATGTGAACACTCTTCTGGCCAACCGCCTCTCAGAGCTCGCACCACGTCCGCAAGACAGGGAGAACGAGAGGGGCCTGGCCAGGGGTGCAGCAGTCAGTTTGCACCTAACGATTTTAGAATTCGCGAGTAGAAAACGATTCTGTATGTCTCCTCCAGGGGAGACAGCTGAGGCTGGCGCTGGGGGTGACCTCCCGGCGTACGGTCCTGTCCTGTCCACGGTGCCCCTCGACCCGCCTTGACAGTCCCCCGAGAGCGTGAGCGGAGCAGGGAGGGAGCGGTTCAACTCTCAGGCTGGCCGGGAGCGGGAGGGGCTCGCAGCCCCCGTTACCCAAAGAAGTCCCGCTCTTTACTCTAAAGATGAACAGCCTCTGCGCCTTGCCTCTCGGGCACCCCAGATCCCCACACCTGCCGTGCCACGGGCGGGTCCCCACGCGCGACCATAGTCCCGTCCATCCTGCAACGAATTTCGAGGGGCTGGATCCCCGCTCCCCACCGGGGGACCCTGGGTCCCTAGACCAGCTGGGCCAGGCACGCGTGGGCTTAGGGGAATCACACCTCGGTTCGCCTGGCGGGAGCCGGCGACAGTCTCCAAAGTGGCCCGAGCGGGGGCGAATTCTCCCCACGCGGGTCGGCGTCCTCGGGAGCGCGGAACACGCGGCGGGCTCCCCTCACGCGGCGCGCTGGGAGCGCGGAGCTCGTGCGGGGTAGTGCGCTCCTTTCGTTGCTCCCGCGGCGGTGGAGAGTCCAAGACGCTTCCGCGGATTCCACAGGGTCATTCCGGACTTGCCACTCCATTGCAATGGAGAGGATTCGCACGGTTTGGTTTTTGCCCAGATGACAAAATTTGGAAGAAAACGAAACCCCCCTCAGCAAGAGGCAATTTCACCGGCAGAGCGCCCTGGCCCGCCCCGCGCTGCGGCCGGGGAAGCGGCCCCGGCCGGGAGGAGCGGGGAGCGTCTGCTAATTGCAGCTTCGTTAGATTTCGGGTTTGGGAGGCTGCGGTTCGGGCGCTAATATCCGCCGCCCATTATCCCGGCTAATAAATTTGACCTATTGTTCGTTTGTTAAAATGATGTCACCTTGGAACAGTCCCTAAGCTCCTATTTCCATGAATTAGGCCTTTATTGAAAGCCGGGAGCCAATGGGAGGAGAGAGGCTTGTTGATCGCAGCCAATGGCTGCGGCGGGAGAGGAATTAGCAGCGGAAACTCCAGGTTCGGTTCAAGAAAGATGACACAGAGCCTGTCGGGCCCGCGCACTCTTGGCAAAGTTTCAGTGCAACGAGAGGCGCCGGGCGCTCCATGGCCGCGCCGTAACAGGGACCCAGCCGCCTCCCCGCCCAGCCCAGCCCAGCCCTTCCGCCCGCCCAGGATGGAGGCGCCCGCCAGCGCGCAGACCCCGCACCCGCACGAGCCCATCAGCTTCGGCATCGACCAGATCCTCAACAGCCCGGACCAGGACAGCGCACCGGCCCCGCGGGGCCCCGACGGCGCCAGCTACCTGGGAGGGCCCCCCGGGGGCCGTCCGGGCGCCACATACCCGTCTCTGCCCGCCTCCTTTGCCGGCCTCGGCGCGCCCTTCGAGGACCCGGGATCTTACAGTGTCAACCTGAGCCTGGCGCCCGCCGGAGTGATCCGAGTGCCAGCGCACAGGCCGCTGCCCGGGGCCGTGCCACCGCCTCTGCCTAGCGCGCTGCCCGCCATGCCCTCCGTGCCCACGGTCTCCAGCCTGGGCGGCCTCAATTTTCCCTGGATGGAGAGCAGCCGCCGCTTCGTGAAAGACCGCTTCACAGGTGAGCAGGGCGAGCGAACAAGCGCCGGGCCTTGGCCCTCCCGGGGCCAGAGGCGCCGCGCCCTAGGTGCTCCACTCCGGGAAACGATTCCGGAGGCCCAAGCGCGACGGAGGCCTCAGCGCCCGGGGCCCCGAGCTACCGTAGGGGGAGGAAAATCAGGGAGTTTCGGGGAAATAAGCCTACGCCCAGGGGAAGAGGGGAGTATCTCCCAACCGGCTTGGTGCCGCTGGGGACGCGGGGGGACCAACGAAATAGCGGAGCACCCTGCGCCCAACCGGGCGGCACGGGGTCCGCGTGGGGCCTGAACGGCAGTCGAGCCGGGCTGGGCTTAAGGGGGACTCGTGTGTCTCCGCAGCGGCGGCGGCGCTCACGCCCTTCACCGTGACCCGGCGCATCGGCCACCCCTACCAGAACAGGACACCGCCCAAGCGTAAGAAGCCGCGCACGTCCTTTTCTCGGGTGCAGATCTGCGAGCTGGAAAAGCGCTTCCACCGCCAGAAGTACCTAGCCTCCGCCGAGAGGGCGGCGCTCGCCAAGTCCCTCAAAATGACGGACGCGCAGGTCAAGACCTGGTTCCAAAACCGGAGGACCAAATGGCGGTGAGAGAGGCCCGGCTCAGCCCGTCTTGCACCCGCCCTTCACCTTGCCCCGCGCCGCAGCCTCGCGCTCTCCCCATTCTGTGCTACCCGCTACCCGCCCTCCCAGGGCTGCGCCTTCCCACTCCTTCCCAAATTTTATCTCCCTTGTCTCCTTCCCGCCGGCCTGTGTTTCTCTCCCCACTCTCTCGCGCCTCGGCTTCTCCTCCATTCCCATCCCTGTATCGCTCTCGTGCGCCTCTCCAACTCTCCGTGTTTTCTTCCGCTTCTGCAGCCGCTCAGTTTCCTCTCACCTGCACCTTCACCAGCATCCACCCCACCCCCCACCCTGGGGTCTCTCGCACTCTCCATCTCTCTCTCTTCCCATTCAGTCTCTTCTCTTCTTCTGATCTCTCTCTGATAGGTCTGTCAGGTGGGTTTCCCAGGGTACCTCTGTGGGCTTTCCATCCTGACTCCTGAGACCCCTCGTTTTTTATCTACCGTATTTCCAACATTGACCCGTGAACTGCAAGGCGACGCTTTTGGAAGAGAGGTTCAGGAAGGCCTGGGAGAACTGGATGAGGCTCCCTGGCCATTGGACAGCGGCAGCGAGCGCAGTGCCAGAGCCGGCCCTCCACTCCCACCCAGACCGGCGTCCCGCGACTGCCCGGGGCTGAATGCGGTTACACGCATGCCCTGCCCTTGTTGTCCCGCAAAAAGCATATCTGTTGTGGGAACCACATACGGCGGGACGATGGCAGGCTGGGCGGAGTCTCCCCACGACGCAGCTCCGGTCACACAAGCAAACAGATATGCCAAGCCACTCCCCGGACGCAGCGGCTCGGGGCTTAGCGCCAGCAGGGTGCAGCCGGGTCCTGCGCCTCGAGGCTCCCCGGCTGGCCTCCGCTCCCCGGAGGTGGCCCCGCGCAGCCCGCAGTGCTGGATGCAGTGACGGTGCTGTCCCCTCTCCTCCCTCGGCGGCGTGGCAGACGGCGGAGAGCGGAGGCGGAGCGGCAGCAGGCAGGCCGGCTCATGCTGCTAGCTGCAAACACGACGCCTTCAAAGGGAGCCTCACCTGACTCATCCATGACCCCCGTAACTCAACTCGTCTTGTCTGTTGCTCTGCAGAATTGCAGCCCTGGGAGGTAGTCAAAGTCCCGCCGTCACTTCTCTGGTGTGAGCCACGGATCACGCTCAGATCGTATGGGATCAGCACTGCCCCACATCGCAGGAAGGTCGCCCTGACCCCCAGACCGGCTGGGGGGGACCCGAGGCTCCAGGAAAGGGAAGCCTCCGGAGCTCCAGTAGGCCCCGGGGCGCGGCCGCATCCCCGCCGGCCGCCGAGGGGGGCTGGGCCCGGGCTCCGCGCGGCTGCACAATCCGAGCCCCCGCCCCGCGCCCAGTCCCGCCCCAGGCCCGGGCCTGACAAAGAAAGCGCCTTACGTTTCTCCGCCCCTCGCCCGCACCCCCCCGGGCCGGGCGCCTGTATTATACTTTGTACTTTTGCCCAAACGTGTAAATAATAAAAGTTTTGGCTTTTTTCTTTAGAAACCGGCCACCTGCTTCCCCCGCGGGGGCCGCTAGAGGAGGGGCGGCCGACCAGGTGGCTGGGGGGAGCGCCAGGGCTGGGGCACCCTGCGTTTAGGCTGGGTCCACTCCTCTCCTTTTCCGTTCCTTTTATTTAAGTCGTTTTATTTAATAAAAAAGTTAGCTATTTCACTTAACGCCGCTTTTATTTCGTTTTCGTTCCAATAATGCTCGGCGAGGCCGGCCCTGCGCCCCACCCCTTCGGCGGTAGAGGCCGAGCCACAGTGTGCGGGGGCGCATCCACATCTCCAAGCTTCGTCGGTTTTCGCCTCAGCTCCGACCCCGGCCCCGGGCCCCGCGGAGGATCCGCGGTGCAGGTCAGTGCGTGCCGGCCGCCGGCAGTTTGGGTGCCGGTGGTGTAGGGCGGACGTGGGAAGGGCCCAGAGGCCCAGAGGTCGCAGGCCCGCGCCAGGCAGGGTTGGGGATGACAGGCCCCGGGTGGGCCAACAGTTAGGGCGTCAGTGGCCGGAGGTGAGAGGCCCCGCGACCTCGAACTTCTAAGAACTCGAAACCCTCACCCCCGTGCCCACTGTCCTCTTTTTCCAGTGAGGCCTCGGGTCTTGGGCGGACCCAAGGACTGGCTATGGGGGATCTGGGCGCACTGTGGGCGGGCCGTGGGCACAGAATCCGCGCGCTTCCTGGTCTCCAAACGCTCGGCGTCTGAGGAGTAAGCGCGGGGCACAAATTCAGAACACCTGCACCCTTTTGGGTTGCGTGGGACCACAGGTGGAGCGTGGCGTCATGTGACGTCACCGCACCCGGGCGGTGTCACTGCACACGAGAGGGGCGGGGCGTCCAGAACGCCGGGAACACCAAGCCCAGGTGTGAAAGCAGCCAGGCCCAGTTCACCCAGCTTTACCTCCGGTCGGAAGCTGGGAATTTCTGGATCACGCGCTGGGCGTTAGGTGGTCCCTTGCAACAAGACACACGGTCGAAGCGTTCGTGAACATTTCCTCTTGCTCCCTGATTTTTTTTCCTCCCTTTTATTAGGTCTTTTAAATTTTTTCTTATGTCTGGCCTCTCCACTTCTTTCTCTACGATGTTCTCTGTTTTCTATTCTATTCATTACTCTTGGTCTCTGTGTTCCTAGGACTCTTGCTTTTCCTTTACAGTTTTTTGCTTCCCTGTATAATTCGTTTACTGTTGCTTTTAGTTTTTCCAACTCTTTCTTTGTCGTCTCTTCCCCCCCTCTCCATTTCA